GAATACATAGATTATCGGATTTAAGTACTCGCTTTTTATTGCAGTTTACGCATTTTTCTCTATTGTGTTTCATATTTTATACTTTATTTATTTGTCTAACTTTTGTATATTGAAAGCGAAAAAAGCTGTATAATTTAATAGCCTACATATAAATTCTATGTTTGCTGAAAAATCGCCTTATATAAATAAAAACGATAATGACAATGGAAGTGTATTAAATTTAAAAAAAATCATCGAGTAAAGTCAAGATGTATAGTATAATTAAAATTGGGAATCGTGCCTATTAAAGGAGTAACACTATAGAGGCATTATAAACAATGGTTAAAAATTTGCATTTTATATAATGGAAAAAGGAAGTTATTTATACGTACTTTTCATTTCAGCGCACACTTTTTGAGTCTTTTTCCATATCGGACGTTCATTTTTCCAGCAGAAATGTTTGATTGCCACATGCCTTTTTTATAGTGCAGATCGTGCCGTTAATGGAAGATTACAAAGTTTAGAACTTTCTGGTACGTATAACGATAAATAATAGAATTCGCGATTTCCAATTATAGAATAATACAACTGGGAGTTTGAAAATAAGTGAGACCTTAAAAATTCTTAATTATGTTTCTAACTTTCGAATTTAGAAAATGAAATAGAAGCCCTTTTTATAAAATCTTGGATTAGATAATACTATCGCTATCATAAAATAGAATGTTTCAAAATCATTATTTCTGAAACCCCTCCTGTTCCATTAATCACTATTTCTGTATTTAGCACGTAACAAATTCAATAGGGGTTTCAAAATTAACGTGCAGGATAGAGATGGGCAAAGTCAGTTACATATTATTACTTAATAATACTTAATATTACCCTGCAATAGGTATTATTAAGTAATTTTACAATAATTTTATTATTAGCAAAACCTTTTCGTTCAATCTCAATTTTGATCACCTGTCTCCGGCTTTTATGTGTTTTATATGTACACGTAATAGATAATTGAATGTAATAATTATTTAATATTACTTAATATTAAGTAAGGGATAAGTCATAGGCCATTATTACTTACAAAATTACTTTGCCCATCTCTAGTGCAGGAATCTAATTTTGACAGAAATAGATAACGTATTCATTCTCAAATGAGCAATGTAAATTTTATTTCATTTTCCTATAAATTTGAAATGATATTTGTCGTTAAAAAGTTTATTTATTTCGTTAAATGGGTGTCTCTAAGCACTTCCATTTCATTTTCCGATTCCTATTGAAATAGGAAGTTTCAGAGTTAATGATTTGATGTCCGATTTCAAATAAATAACATATTTATTTCAAAAATATACGACGCATAAATTCTATTTTTTTTTATATTATTTACTTATTTATATAATCGTTTATTAGTAGAGATTTGTCCAAAGAAACCAATTTTATCAGCAGCTACGATTATTTAATTTTCAATTCGAAATTTTAAACCAGAAATTCAGATCTTTTAAACTCCTAATTATTTTCGAAATAAGTTAATTCTGAAGTAGTCCTATGCAAAATAATATAGTCTGTTTAATATACTTACGCGCGTAATAGTTGATTAAACTCTTTAGGCTAACGCTTGAATTATTCATATAAACCTATACCCTAACTCTAATCCTAACACACTAACATGAAGTATAGTCATAATTCTAACCTTAGCTATCTGTAGATAGAATAACATACGAATATATTATGATACGTATATGCATGTAATACGCTTGTCTTTTTTAAATACTACATCTTTTGTATTTCCGACTATTCCACTATATGCAACACCGTATAGAAATAGGACAATTCATATGTTTTAATTTAAAAAAAATCTGACCTGTTTTTATACCTATAGTAGACCCATTCTAAACATTTGTTGGATGATACTTGAACAAAACCCAACCAAATTTTTTATAGCGTTATGAAGTTATTGCCACGTTAAGTTTCAGAAGACTTTCTTAACACACTACATGATACATTGTAGCTTGGTGTCAAATAGAGGTGTTAATCAGTGTACTAAGAATTTGAAACTTTGCACACTTGACCCTCTCTAATATCAACTCATTTGGATCACTTTTATATTAATGTTAATAGTGATATTAATAAGAAATCATATTAAAGTTGATATATATGAGGGAATTTTAATACAATTTTAATATACGTATAGTAATTCATATTATTATTTAGGCTGATATTAATGAAGCTGATATTAACGAGGGTCAAGTGCACTAAGAATTTTAAACTATATAACCAGCTTAGTGTTGGTTATATAACGCTTAAATGATAGCATAACACTAGATTTATAGCACCTGTGTTTTAATAGTGCCAATGCCTTAATAGTAACCGTGTCTTAATAGCACCTATGCCTTAATAGTGTCATAGTGTCTTGCCTCAATAGTTCCTGTTCCTGTGCCTGTGCCCTAATACGTAGTGCCTGTGCATTAATAGTTCCCATGTGTAATAGTGCCCATGTCTTAATAAAAATTCTTGTACCTTATGCCTTAAGAGCAATTGACATTCAGTACCTGTGCTCTAATAGTACCCGGCATTTTATGCCCATGCCATTCATAATGCCTGGCGCTTTGTGCCTATGTTTTTATTAATGCCTGGAACTTATGCCTATTGGATGAGCATGGTAATGAACACTAGTGCAGTAGTGCCTGGAATTATGACAATACGTCAGGTATGAGCATTTACGAAACCCTACTAGAACCCAGCTGATACGGCTGGGTTACCGAACGATCAAAAGAGTACACATAAAATACAGTAGTTAGTGCTTACAATGTTAAGGTTAGGATTAGGTTTAAAAATAAATGTACTGTATATTTAGATGTAAAATTAAGTGCTGAGCATTTTTATTTATTACAGTACATCCAAATTAGGTTGCATATTAAAAATTTCAAGATTTCAACAATTTTTAAATTTTTATATGTTGGGTAACTTACCCACCGGGTACAAATAGAAATTCTCGTATTTATTTATATTTAAAGTTTCAATATTCACATTTCTTTGTGATGGGCTATCATCGTCAATTTGAAAGCGTTATAAATTGTGCTTTAAATTATAGCACGTGCAAGTTTTGTAATTTTGGTGAGTTTTTATAAAGAAGTAATATTTCTATAATCTGACAAATAAATTATAGACGATACCTATTTATAAACTTTAGTGAAGGAATGTAGACAGTTACAAATTCAAAATAGATCGGTCGATATTTTTATTGTTAAGATATCTAGTTTTTGCTTCATTTACCACTTTACTCGATTTACCAATATAATTTCACCTTAAATCTAAATTAGTTAAGGTGTCATTTTTGTATAATGCTTCGGCCAACGGTTTTCCTGCTGATTCACCTAGACAATTAATGTTTAAATCTAAATTAGTTATGATATTTTTGCATAAAGCTTTAGCCAGTGCTTTTCTTGAAGATTCACCCTAGCTTATTATCTTTTAAATGTAAATTAGTTTAAGGTAATATTTTTGTATAAAGTTTTAGCTAATGAATTTACTGCTCATTCGTTCTAGCATATTACAATATTTTAATTTAAATTTAAATTAGTTAAGGTACCAAATTGATTATTATTTACATAAGTGTGGGGTTCTTACACAATGTCTTTCTACTGCATTTATTGCTTTGTCGCCAAGTTAGTTTTTTCTAAATTTAGATTGGTTAATGTAGTATTAGTATTAGAGCTTTTAACGGTTTATTTGTAACCTGCTCTAGCCACATAATGGAGCTGAGCCGGCCGGCCCAAACCAATTAAGCTGTAGCTTGAATCGTAATCAAGCTATAGCTTAGCATAGTTATTACTTGGCTTAAGCAGTGATTCCTAAATGTTACAAATATTACGTGGCTAATATCACATTTCCAGCTAGTAAAACTACGGCTCGAGCCATGGCTACTAGAGCCACTGTCTGAGCTATGGCTCAGGTTATGGTTCAAACCACTGCCCCAATAGTAATAGTCATGGCTCAAGCTGGAGCTATGGCTTTTAGGAGCCAAGCCATGCCATCCAAACCGATACCAGCCTATGTAGTAATATTTCTTAGTGCCTTTGCCCTGCTTATTGCAAAGTTTTGAACTCAAATCCAAATATTCTGAGATTTGAACTGTCAGAGCAAAACTATGAAGGCACTCTCTATTTGAGGCGTTACGATTTGGTGAGTATGCTTTTACTTACTACTTTACTGTTTATCTAACACTAAAGGCTTTATTATTTATAACTGTTCTTTTCTTATGATCTTTAGCCCTTTCCGGGCACCATCAAAGATCAAATTTACTATTCATTTTGTTATTGCTTTTATACATTTTCCGATTTACTAACCAATTTGTTTATTTTAAGGTTCTATCAGTTTTGCTTCCATCATTTTTCTCACTAAGCGACTGACCAAATCTTCCAACTTATTATTTCGCTCCAGCCATTTTGAAACCTTATAATAGTTACTTCGATTTATGCCCGACTTGGTCTTGGTTGTTGGGAACGATCATCCAATTTCGGTTCGATCACGAATGCATCGATTGGGGTTAGGCCTCCGCATGGGCCGGGTAGGGCTAGGGTAGCACTAATACCCTAGCCCTACCCATTTATGTAAGGGCTCGCCT